TTATGAGTGATAATAACGCCAAATGTGGTTTACAGACGTTGTTAAAATTATTTGAAATAATGAATGATGATTTTTTCCCCTTTTATTTACAATGAAAAAAAAGGAAAGGAAAGCAGGTTACTATAAATTAGTAAGTTCACCAAGTAAATTATTTTTGGCGCAAACTGAAAAAATTGTGCCAAGGTAAAATTCAAAATTTCCCCATAAATTTCGCACCACATTTTACAAAATTTTATATACATTCATAATTTGAGCCGTAGAATCGAAATGTGGGAAAAAATTGGTATGTCACTTCAGAAAAAGTTCGATTTTGTGACAAAATATCTATATTAGAATAGTGCTATATATATATAGAACTGTCCCCCTTTTTTTTTTTTTTTTTTTTTTTTCCCGAAGTGTACGTATGTACAGATGTCACGAAAAAATGTCTTCTGAATGCATTTTAAATCCATTTTTTTAATCCGTTTGGAAAAAAGAGACCTTTATTTTGTAAATACATACAGATGTCACGCAAAAGCATCGTTCAGATGGATTCGAGAGCGGTCAAAATGGATATTTTCATTGAACCGAAATTCTTCATGATTACAATACTTCATTTACTTCGTACAAAGAAGTAATAATATAGTACTATTTTATGTAAACGATTAGATTTTTTTTTCGTGTCCTAATAAAATGCTTGTCATATTACCTACTACGTCATATGCTATGCTTTGTTCAAAGCAAAGCTTGTACCTTTGGACAAAGCATACTATGTGACGTATGCTTTGTCCTATTACAACGTATGCTATATCAGATGCACACATAACGTCACGCTCATGTTAAAGAACATGTATCTAAAACCCACGTCACGAAGAATACATTACAGCTTGCGTTTTGAAAATTTCCCGTAATCGAAGGAATACATTTCGGTTTTCATAAACCATACCATATTTCCTCGTGTATTCCCCGCCTTTTGTATTAATTTTATGTTCGGAAAATCGAGAGGGGAAATTTATACAAATCATTTAATTTCCGAAAGACGAGTCAGGGTAAAAATATAACATAGAAAACGTAGTTGTGGATAAACTACAGGTAGCTATCACAATATTAATTGTTTAAAAGAAACTTGCATTTCAATAAGAATACTTAGTACATTACAGTACCTAATAAGTTATATTCATTTCTATTTCCCAATAACTTGAATCTCGTTTATTTTCTTAGTTATTTCTACCACTGCTTAGGCCTCAAATCTTTCATGAATAATTAATTACAGAATGCAACTGATTTAGCGAAATCGCAGACTGAATGTGAATTTGAGTTTGCTTCGCTATGATAGGCCGATTCTTGTATTAGGCTGTGGTAAAGTTCGACATTTAGGAGCTGTATTAGTTCTTTGCGATGCTCACCTTTTCCTAGAGAAAAACACATATCCTTCGGTTATTCTTACCTAACATTTTGTTAATTATTTGAAGAACTTACTACCTTAGTGATCCAACTTTTTTCACATTGCTTATCTATTTTCATTCATTAAATCTTTCTTCGCCGACTGATGGCGGCTAAGTGAAATATCCCATTCTACCATCTCGATTCTTCTTATCATCCTTTTGTTGTTCCAGACAATCTTTTATCTGATGCAGAGTAAAAGCGAGCCACAACGCGCTGTCACTCTGTTTCCATTCAACACAAGCAAAGGCAATGTTCGGCTTGACTTTCGCATTCAATTTGCGAGGTTTTACTTTTGTTAGTAGGAAGAAAACAATCACTAAGTGGATGAAACCCATTTTAAAATTTAACGGGAGCTCGTTCTGCCAAGGCACCGAAAGGGGTGAAAATCACTCGAATATATTTAATTTTTTTCAGAAACTTTCTCTAACATATTGAGGGAGATATTGTACATTATTCTAAGTTCTTCTGCCAGTTCCACAATAGAAGTATTTTCTAGCCATTTGAACTACAGCGTAGATGGTAATGCAATTTGAACAATGCCAAATCCTAAGGGTAAAATTTAAATTAGCGAATAAATAATAGCATGGAGAAGCAGCTAAATGATTTTGATATTTAACTCAAAAAAGATGCTAGTCCCGAATGGGATATTAGTCTGAAAATGGCATTTTGTGTTAAAACACTTAAATGCGTTTTATCATTTTTCAAATTGTTGCCACCAAATATTACCGCCCTGTATTAGGTTTAAATAAATTAAATAATGAAGAATCTGCATGAACGTATTTATGTTTCTCGCTTTGTGAGAAAACTACGATACCTATAGATTCATCCAATTTTGAATAACATAGTCCTCCATCCAAACATAAAAAAAGTGGAAGCTCGAATTTTGAATTTCGAATTGGTTTTATTATCTATTTCATATTTCGTAAAACTCTGAAGAATGTTTGATTAATTTAATTAATTCAAACATTTGAAAGCCAGTAGTGACAACACTGTACGGAATAAAATATTTTTATCTCCAGCGCGCGAAACTGTCTATCGGAATTTCTAAAGATATGCTGTTTTTTAATATTTTGCGATTCTGCTATTGAATTAAATTTTATACAGCGTAAGTTCGAAAAATGTGATGGCTAATAAATGAAGCTGACACTTAAAATGTTAATAATAAAAAAGACAAAAAATAAGTTTTCTTAGTCATCTTACTAAGAAAAATGCACATTAATAGGAAAAACTAAAAAAAAAAAAAAAAAAAAAAAAAAAAAAAAAAAAAAAAAACACAGAAAAAATGTATACCAACACTTAACACTGCATCGAGAATCCTAAAGGCTATGCTGCTTTTATAACTTTGTTGTTGAATTACATACGGCGTAATTGCGAAGAAAATGATGCTTGATATTAAAACTAAAATGAGAAAAAGAAATGGGTTAGCTGGAGTAAATGCAGCAGCAGACTCGTAGCCTGTGATCTCAGCGATAGTTTAAAAGAAAACATAAAAAACACGCTCGCTTGGACGACCGTTAAAATCTGAAACCTTTCAGATTCCTTCAAAAATATTTTTTTATATCACCCAGAATAATATTTTTTTTGGATCCACAAAGTCTTCGTAAATGTATATCTTCGCAAGATTTCTCGTTACAAGATTTATTTTCTCATTCATTTAGCAATTCCACAGCGAGCTACCACTTATTTCTGCATCTATTAAAACTGAAGGAAAAATATGAATATATTCTTGTCTAGAAACAAAATAATGTTTAACATTGTTTGTTTCTAATTTATAACATTTTCTAGAACAGTCACCTCAAATTGGCGATAATCGTTTTGTAATTAAAGTAAATCGTTTTGGGTCACGAAAATCATTTTGGATGGTTTCGGGTTGCAAAGCAAAGAACGTTGTTTTAGATCATAAATGACTCAACTTGTAATTATAGTGATAAGCGGAATATTTTTGATACTTTAAAACAGCGTTTCTGAAACCTTTTTTTTAAGTGTGGACCACTTTTATAAATTATAATGTTCTGCGAACCGCATCACCGTTGCCCACTTCAACAGCAAATTTCTTAGTAGATATTTATAATAATACGCTTACATTTTTAAAGCACAACCAATTTAAGTTCATTTAATTTCGTATGGGTACTAATTAATTAAATGTCTAGAAGAAATGTTAAATTTTCTTTTAATAATTTATGGATATTATAATTTGGATACTCTTTATTTTATTAATTACAAATTAAATGAATTTTGGTTCTCATATTAATGACAAGGATGAGCCTGACGACTCTTGAGCAGCTGTTCTCCGTTTCCATGTGAGCTGGTAAGCTTAAGTGTAAGACTATAGCATACATCAAACCGATTTCGGTCCTTTTGATTTATTTGAGTTAATTAGAAAAACCTTTTCTTATACGCGTACGTATTAGCAAACTGATTTACAGTTTTTAAGGCACAGTTGTACAGTTTCATTACATTCCATTTTCGAGAAATGAGGTCCAGAAATGAACTATTCTTTCTGCTTGGAACTTTATTTTAAGTCTGTTCTTATTAGAGGGGTCAATTAACTGTTCTGTTTCATATAATAAACAGTTTTTTTTTATTTTCAAAGTCAATGAAAAGGATGAGGAACCCATAAAATTTCACTATATTTTACCACATAGAAAACGGATTTCAAATTCAGAATTTCGAGATGCGAACATATGTCGTTGATTAATTCCTTTTCAATAATGGTACAATTCCCTGTAAAATGTTATTCTAAGTTTGGAAATGACGAAATATTTCTCTGTTTCATATAACTAACCCATAAATCCAGTTTCCTTTCAAATCCCTTTAATTTTTCATGAACTTTGACAACCGTCAAAGATTTGCCTTGTAAACAGAGATTTAATTCATTTAGATTTGAGAATACATCTGAAACAGATGCCGCTCATATGTTACTGGCAAGAAATAATGTCAATGCTTGTTAATTTCGTTTACAAATAACAGAATATTTGTGCAAATTTTGGAGGATTACAAAGGAAGACTTTGAGGATTACTTGTGCTCCGCGGATCACAGTTTTAGAAACGCTGCTTTAAATTTCGTGTTGGTAATAAAAGTAAGATTTCGTGATATTTTAAGTTTGTTATTTATGCTTTAGTTGCATACTGTATTATTGTGTGACAGATAGGCAAATAGAATCTTAAAATACAAGTTTGCTATTTTATTTTAAGCAAAACATATTCAGAAATTATCAAGAGCTGTGTGTGACTTTGAAATTTACACTACTGTTTAAATTATCATTTCGTACAAAAGCTTGCAATGCTCAAGCTCTGAGAATGGGAGAACCACCGCTTTTTAAAACATAGAACTTTCAGTTTTTAGTAAGGAAATCTTAAAAATAGGTTAATTTTAGTTCGAAAAATCTGTTCACTGTGAAAAATACAGTATTTTTCTCTTCCCACAGAATATTAAATTTAATGGCGAAAACATAGCTAATTTACGCATTCAGTTACTCTTCTGATTACTATAAGAACGTTTCAATGTTTTAAAATTGCTATATTTCAGGTTATTAATATAACAGTAACGAAATAAAGAAGAAAAATGTATTTACCAATGCTGCTCGAGAAGGGTACATAAGCTGCTACGTCTGCAGAACGTACCCTATCTTTTAGCCAACTGCAATAGAAAAAGATATTAGTGTATTTAAGAATTAAACTATAAGTTTCCGAATGGAAAGCTTAAAAAAAAAGATGATTTTTGCAAAAATGCCTTTATAGTCTGCAGAGAAATATATATTTTATATATAATAAACTTTAAGGCATAATTTGTTTTCTAAAAATTAGTTAAGTTAATAAATGAGCGATTACTCGTCCACTGAAGTCTTTATCAAACCGTTTTATTACATATATTTCATGTAACAAAAATTGTTACAAAAAATTGTTACAATCCTGTTACAAAATTTATATTTCCTGTTACAAAAGTGTTTTAAATTGCGCAAATATTCATATTCTGGCACTTTTAACTTTAAAGAAATCTACTTTATAAAAATTACGAAATCTGACTTCTTACACATTATTAAATTAACAAAAATATAAACATATAATTGAGTAAAATAGTTTCTTCTCTTTTTTTCTTTCCTGTTAGTAATTTCAATTCATTGTTTATATCATTTTAAAACATTGCTTCGCATTAAATTTATAATTGCAAAAACATAATTATGTAATTAATACTTAAAATATTACGTACTCAATTTCTTCATAAGGTTTTCGAAACCGAGAGTAGTAGTAGTGAGTTGACCATCGGCGCAATTGTAAAGTTTTGGCAAAATAACTGTCTCCGTTAAGTTTTAACTATGAAATAAATTTTGATTAAAATATTGAAAGGGTTAAAATATTCAAAAATCGTTAAATTTTATACGCAAGATTTACAGAAATATTAAGTTACTTACATCTTTATATATTTTAGAAATTAAATCATCATTCCGAAGAACATTTGGATATCCAATATGATGTTCTATGACGTTCATCTACGAAATAAATATATTAGTATTTTGCTATCAAAACAATTGTATACTAAGACTACATTGAAGTTAGAAACTGCATTCAAGTCAAAATTTGAAACTATCAGAGGCATTCTGTTTTTTTTTTTTTTTTTTTTGGTATTTAACCTATTATCCCTTCGACCGTGAAAGTTGGCGGAAATGGCGCCAACGTTCACGGTCAACTAAATTTGAACAATTTAAAATACATCTAAATTAATCAGATGTATTTTAAATTGTTCAAATCTACAAATCAGTAATATTCTTAAAATGTTATTTAATATCTGGTAGTCAAAACACTTTAAGATAACTTTTCATTAAACACCAGAAATTAAACACCAGAAATACAAATAAAAAAACATTCATTAAACACGAGAAATACAAATAAAAAAACATTCTATTTTATAGTTTACATTTTACTGTTTTTATTAATTTACTGTGAATTATTTTCTAGCAAACGTCTGAATAAGAACAATTTCTTTTACCTTAAAATTTTTTTCAAGGAATTTAAGCAATGCGAATCGTTTTCATTTTTATTTTAATTAACGAAGAATATATACAGGGTGTCAGAATCAAATGTACCTATTTTGAATAGTCGATTAAAAGCAAAGTTTTAGCGCTACTAAGGCGATATTGGCCGCATGTGGGAGCTGAATTCGTAGAGTTTCGTGACAATATTTTTTTCTCGCGTCTGACGCACCTGCGCTTTTCCTGAGCCGACAAATGAAAAATGGCTTCACCGCAAGATAAGGCACACACTCTTGTGTGCTATGCAGAACACAAATCCGTAGTAAAAGCGCAAATAATGTTTCAAACAATTTACAAAAGAAATCCACCCAAGGCTAAGAGCATAAAAAAGTGACAGAAAACGTTTCTCGAAACGGGAAGTGTACGGAAAAAGTCCGGAGGTGATCGGCGTTCACATTTTGATTCACGGGTGGAAGATGTTCAACAAGCTTTCGTTCGGAGCCCTTGTCAGTCGATAAGCTTCTGAATTATCTATGCCACGATCAACTATTCATGATGTGCTGCATCGAAAATTGAAGATGCATGCATATAAAATGCAGATTATGCAGGAACTGCAACCAAATGATGGGCACCGTGCAGTATTTGCTTGAAGATGTTACCTCGCATCCAAACTGAACACGATTTTTAACCGCATCTTTTTATCAGATGAAGCTACATTTTATGTTAGCAACAACGTTAATAAGAACAAATGCAGAATTTGGTGCTCAGAAATCCCTATTCACTACACGAATTGTACCGGAGTAACCCCAAAATCAGTGTCTGGTGTGCTCTATCGTATGATACAGTCATAGAAGAAGTTTTCTTTTCTGAGACGTCTGTTATGGCAAGCATTTACCTGAACATGTTACACCTCAAATGCAGCATTTACAACTCACTGTTATCTTCCAACAAGATGGGGGCCCCTCCTCACTGGGGTAAGCATGTTCGGGCATATTTAGATGCAACCTTCCCTAACCGATGGATAGGACGCGGTGCCCCAATTGCCTGGCCACCAGGATCTCCCGACGTGACTTTTCTTCTTTCGGGGCTACATGAAAGACAAAATCTACTCAGGGAACATCCGTGATATTGAAAACCTTCATGCCTCCATAACCGTGGCTATTGCTACTCCGACTCAGGAAATTCTACACCGGACATGACTGGAACTGGACTACGGTTGGACATTCTCAGGGCTACTAAGGTAACTCACGTGGAATTGTACTGCTTATTTAATAAAACTTTGCGAGTATGGGTACCTAATTTTACAGTTTTCTTATGCTTTTAAATTCTCTTTTAAGTAGAGCTACCTCTCCAAATCAGGTACATTTGACTCGGACACCCTGTATATTTGTGTGTTTGTATGCTCTTTGCATTGTATCTATTTAATGCCGCAGACTTCCCACAAATTCAGCAAACTAATTCTATTTTAGCCTTCTATGCGGATGACACCGCCGTAGCAGTGAAATCCGCAAATGTGAATCATGCAGTCTGCAAACTTCAAAGCTTCATTCCCCAAATTGAAAAATGGTGTGCATAGTGGAAAGTTCAAATCAACACCTAGAAATCACAACTTCTGATTATTCAGAAATTAAAAAGGAACGTTCTGTTCAAGAAAGGACTTATGTCTTTCATTAAACTTGTTCCTGTCGTCTCTCAAGCAAAATACCTTGGAATATTATTAGGTTGTCCGGAAAATAATGTAGGATTTTAACCTATATCTTTAAAGTATCATAACTTAACTTAAAAACAATTTTATTAATCAAAATAAGCAGCAGCTGAATCAGTGCATTTTTGCCAATGAGATATAAGTTTACTTATGCCGGTAGAATAAAATTCTGGAGTTCTGGACGCGATAAAGTTGTCAAAAGCGCTTTTGACCTCGTCTTAGTTTCTCAAGAATTTCTTCTGCAGAATGTTATTCAGATGTTTGAAAAAATGTTAATCGGTCGGCGAGAGGTCAGGCGAATATGGGGGGAGAGGAAGAGTCTCGTATCCCAATTCGTCCAATTTCTTCTGTAGGGTAAGTTGCACGACGTGCGGCCGAGCATCGTCATGGAGAAGAACTGGCCGCTTTCTATTGACCAATGCCGAGCACAGGCGCTGTAATTTTTGGTGCATTTCGTTCATTTTTTGACAGTACTTATCTGCCGTAATCGTTTCGCCCAGATTTAGGAAGCTGTAGTGAATGAGACCGGCGCCAGACCACCAAACAGTCACCATAATTTTCTTTTGGTGCAAATTTGGCTTTGGAAAGTGTTGTGGTGTCTGACCGCGGTCCAACCACTGAGATGAGTGTCGCCCGTTGTTGGAGAGAATCCACTTTTCATCGCATGTAACAAGTCGATCAAGAAAAAGGTCGTTTTTGTTGCGGAGAAGAAGAGCAGACGACACTTCAGAACGGCGATTTTTTAAATTTTCTCTCAATTCGTGAGCCACCCACTTATCGAGCTTCTTTGACTTTCCTATACAATTCAAGCGATCAGAAATCGTTGTTTTGCTTACGCCAAGCTCTTGAACAGTTATGCACGGCTTTGTTTCAACTAAAGTCTTCAAATCATCCTCATCAACAGCTGAAGAGTGTCCACGATGCTCTTGATCTTCCAGGTCAAATTCTTCACGACGAAACTCTTGGTATCACCGTTGAACTGTAGATTCATTAACACTTTTTTCATCCCATACTTCGTTGACATTTCGAGCCGTTTGTGCTGCGCTGTGGCCTAGCTTGTTCTCATAAAAGTAAATTTGCAGAAAATCCCGTTTTGACATCTAAATAAAAACACCCAGTAAATATTTTTGAATATAATTTAGGAACAAAATGATTATTATAGAAATATAGAGCAAAAATAGAGCTTCAAAATGATATATAGACCAATGTAATTCAAAATATTTTTGTTGCTAAAAATGTACAGGAAAGATGAACAATTGCAAAAACCTGCATTATTTTCCGAACAACCTGATATTTAACGATCGCCTTACATGGACTCACCACGTTAATAGCGTGAGAGATAGAACTTTAAAAATCTTTAAATGTCTTTATCCCATCATTGGAAAATACTCTTCACTGGGTTTAGATAAGAAGAGACTCATTTATCTTTTTGTTATTAGGCCTATAATGACTTAAGCTTCACTGGTCTGGACTACACTTACTGACCAGGAACTTATTAAATTCCAAGTTGTGCAGAACAGATGCCTGCGTATCAGCACAGATGCCTGCGTATCAGCACAGATGCCCACTTTTTTGGAAGGAATAAATGTCTGCATGATGACATCAAAGAAGAATCCCCGGCGAAGTTCTTGCAAGATTAATAAACAATCCCATTAGGACGTACAAGATTGCAACATTATGAATCACTTCAATCTCTTCAGCTATGAAATTCTGCAAGAAGATCAGCACTTGCGCCCTTTGACAGCTTTTGCGTTCAATGAAAACCAAAATTACCCTACATAGGATTTAAAATTGTTATGAAAACTCCATATTGTGAAAACTCAAGCATTCTAAATATTTTTCCTACTTTTTGTAGAACTTTCTGCTAGTTTAACCGGACATATACTTGAAAATATTATCTAAATAGTGGTCTATTTTCTGGGGGAAATATTTGTTTTATGTTTTATGAACTGCATAATTCTGTAAAATGTGTTGTTTCACATTCCTCATGTGTTACGATAGCTGGTATCCAGCTCACATATTCAGCAAGCTAGAAGCGGCTACAACTGCAACAGGAACTGGAACGAATGCAAATGGGCATCCAAAATTAGCATAAAACGCAATTCTGAAATGAACGCCTTAAAAAGGACCAAGACAGACCTGTACATCAGTTTGCAAGTAGCGATAGTTCTGTGTAATCCGAGATAGCCACATAGGAACGCATGAACCGGAGACAGCATTTGCACAATGAAATGCGTTGGAGGATTGTTGGGATGTTGCCAGCTGTGCAAGACTGTACACTGTTACGAAAGAACTGAATGTGCATTGTAGTGTCACTAGCAGGCTGTGAAATCGTTACCAAAGAGATCTAAAACCCTGTAAAAGACGTGGGTCTGGACGCCAGATGATTAACACAACTGCAGACGATCGCATCCTGTTGCTATGTGAAAGATCACTAACAGCATGACAGCTGGCGTCGCATCTCTTTGTTGCTGCAGGATGGCTCGTATTCCGCCAAACTGTGTCGCGTCGACTGCATGAAGGTGGACTGTACGCCCGACAAATTTTGGTTTGTATTCTTTTATCCCGCCATTGCATACCAGAGCGCGATTGAAGTGGGCTCATGAACAACGCATTTGGGAACCAGAGCAGTAGTGTCATGCAGTCTTGAGATAACATCCAGAGTGATTCCCGAAGGGCAATGGAATGGAGAGAGCCAGGAACACGCTATCGGGCGCGTAACGTCGTCGAAAGAGACAGTTACAGAGGAGAAGGCTTACTTGTATGGCCTGGGATAGCAACGAACGGTCGCACCGACTTCTACGTGATTTCTGATGGTTTCGTATCAACCGTCCAATATCGTGACGACACTCTTCATCCACATGCGCTCCCTTTTATCGCTGCAATGAGTACCGACGCTATATTTATGGACGATAATGCCGTCGGCATAGAGCTCAAATTCTGTGGAAATATCTGGAGAGTGAAACCATTCCACATCTGCAGTTGCCTGTTAAATCACTGGACCTGAATCACATAGAGCATGTGTGGGATATGTTGGAACGATGGGTAACAGGTCTCATTGTTTCAACAGGCACCCTCCACTGGCTTCGACATCCATTAGTAGAGCAATGGGTGCTAATGCAACAACAAGTGATCAACGAACACTGTTGCTAGCTTCTCTCGACGCTGTCAAGCATGCGTTTCACCTGAGGATCTCATACTCCTTATTAGCGTGATGTTTCTAGTTCACAGTCTTCAAACCCGTTTTGTCTTTCGCGATATGATAGTCTAATACATGTGTTTTTGTATGTCTTTGCTTTATTCCCTGCTATATGGTCTAGTAATGCCCACCAACCTCTTGGATCAATTTCACGCATATTCATTCAATAGTTTTTGTTCTCCGTCTTTTGCCTTTGTTGCTTATTTTTTTAACAGGAATGTATTTTAGACCCGAGCGGTTAGTATTGTAAAAAGTAGACAGTTTTGAACGTTACATAAACTAGTAAGAATATAAGTCAACTGCGAGCCATTCTTGAATTCATTTTCCTTCATAAGATGTGAGCTGTTTAAAAAGGAAGCATAGCTTTTCCCTTATTTGAGAAATCACCCTGGAGCAGCTGAAGATTTTGAATAGTCAGTTGTTGTTGTGTAAATCTCAACTTTCGCATAACAAATAATTATTATGAAACAACTATTCTCTCGTGTTTTCCTTATTTTGTAATCCAGCTCAACGTACGTGAAAAGTTTAATTGCAGATTTTAATAAAAAAATAAGAGATTTTTGTTCTTACTTATTAACACAGCTAGTTTGGAGCAGTTTCGTGATTTTTTACAGATGAAAAGGTAAGAAGTACTTATCCGGAAAAAATTACTGATTTACTAAGCATTTTTAAAAGATTCCCAAACTATCGTTATTTAACAGAAAACATTATCAACACATGAAAAAAAAAACATACTAAAACAGTTTAAAATACAAATTAATAAATAAAGTTTACATGATACTTAAAAAAAAATTAAAAAAAAAAAAAAAACAATCTTCTCCAAATCTTTCTGTAAATTTTTTTCGCTATTCTTTTTCCCACGTACACATAGTGATCTGTTTTCTCTTAGAAAAACATCAAGAGAATTGCAGTGACTCGACATCCCGCAAACCCCGGTAACACCCTCTATATGCCAAACGCATCTCATTAGAAATTTCGCAAAGAAGTTCTGGGTTCCTGCAGAAATTTCATTGCAGTTTCTGGCATTGTTGGCAAATTTAACAAACTCATGAATTTAAGGCAAAAAATATCAAGTTTGTTTACAAAAACCGTTGAAACTTGGAATAGAATAAATAAATAAATAAAAATGCATACAGAAATGGCAACGTTGCTTGGCTGAAGGATCGTTATAAGCATAGTTACTATTTTAACATGTGATTGAAATATTGCAATATAATGGAAGGACATTCAAATCTTCGAATCATTCTTTAATGGATTAATACAAGAAAACCGAATTCGAACGGACGACTAAAGTTTAGGGTGATCAAAAATAGACTATCAGCCTTTGTCTAAATAATTTTCATCTGGCACTTTCAAAGATTTAAATTTAAATTACGTGAATTAATACCCTGGCATTTAAAGGTGATTGAAAACAGGGCTCCGAGGAAGGAATCCTTCCGTTCATATTAGGAAAGTAACAGAAAATAAGATATAAGAAATAAAAGAGATAAGAAAGAGATAAAAATGTAACTTACAGTATCTTTTACGAGATCTTTAATTGTTTCATCAATCCAGTTTTCGGTCTCAAGAATATTTAAGAATTCTTCATTCATGTTAGAAATTATCATCAACTCCTGGGGAAAAAAAGACATTCAAGAGAAATGTGATATTAACTACTATAAATCTGAAGCTAATATGTTATTTAATCGTTTAAAACCCATCTATGCATGTAAAGGCCTCACCTACATCCAGGAAGATAAAATAGTATGAATTCATTCAAAAGCATCGGAAATTATTATCTATTTTCAAAATTACTTTTACTGCACGCGTAAGCATATGAAGAAAGATTATATTTTGAAACAGTTTATATCAGTTTTCAAGTTTACAGTTTCTTTCATTTTATAGGAATTACACTGTTGGCTTGCAGAAGTTGTAGCCGATGGGTCAAAGTTCAGTAATGAAAGAAAATAAAACTAATCAATATTTTACACTGTATTCAAATCACGCATTCCAATAAACTTATGTGAAAATTGTTATAGGAAGTTTACCGGATAAGAATATTAAAATATAAGACCCAACCTGCTAAGAATAGATGGTGAAAATGTATGTGAATTATAATCAAGAGGCCTCGTGGAAGAGAGAAATCTAGAGTTTTGTTATCACTTTTCCTCTACCAGCAATGAAAGAATTGGAGAAAGAGATAACATACAACCCCTAGTAGATGCTTCAGCGATGTTTGATAGTATATCTTCTGCACTAGAAGGTATTTATCCACCTTTAAGCACGGGAGCTTGAAGGCATATTGATAATGTATATTAATTAACAAATAATTAAAGCCATGAGTAATGACAGAATTTAAAAAAGACATCATATATGCTTAATATGTCAGTTAGAGAGCAGAAAATTATTTATAAATAAAACTATAAAAACGCATATATGGAGAACACCGAAAGAGGAATAAATTAACATTCTAACGAATCCTCATATGTGTACTCAAACATTATAAATTTATAAAGCATACTGAAAGGACTATACTAGACTTAGTATAGTCCTTTCAGTATGATTTTTACCTTGAAAAATAACTAAATTTCTTTTTTATAAACTAACAAATCAATTAACAATTGATAAGATCTTTCAAACAAATTGATCTTTCAAACAAAAAAAAATCCCATAACCGAAGTGAGACTACATACAAACTATGTTGCTGCTGACCCGAACAAATGGAGTTACTACTCACAGCATCCTTGTTTTCCTCTTCGGAGTAATGTCGAAAATAGTAGGAATTAAGTGCTATATCCAGGCCACTGTTGCTTAAATCAGAAATGCATTCTATCCAGCGCGGGGTTTTTGTGATCATTCCTGTGCTATGAAACTTAGCAATGTTCTTCCATTGCTCCGGCAGAAGAGAAAATGATGCTTGAATTACTCTCCACATCATGTAGTTGGCTACAACCCTAAAAAAAGAATACTAATTAATTTAAGCAAAGCGTTATGAGGGCTATTGGCTATTCGTTTAAGTTACCAAAACACACCAAAGAATGAAATCAAAATATCTCGAATCTCTCTTCCTCGGTCTCAAGAGAAATTTTCGGGCGCTTACTAGCTCTAAAATAATTCAGCCATAGATTTTATAAGTTGTTTCATTCAAAAACAGCAAACAGCTTTATACCAGCAAAGCAGATTCCTAAAAAAATTATATCAAACGATCTTGTCGACTTAAATTATCACCAGAATTGTGCAGAACTCTGAGGATGTAATCAAATATTAACTTCCACAAAGAGATGTGTTTGCTTATGTTTGTAATTAGACATATGAGTTTGCATGAGAATTTCTTCCTCGAAACAGTTTAATGCTCAAACCCAATAGTACTACTCCTAAGGAATGACCGCATAATTATATTAATATATGCTTCGTTTGCATTTCATTAATATTTAATAAAAGGCATCAATTTTCACTGGTACTTCTTATTTTCTTCTGATATTAAAAATAAAAATATAATTTATTTTAATTAAACTAATAAACTGGAAAGTAATTTCTAATTATAAGCACCTTCACGAAAAGTCGCTGTTTCTTTGGCAAATTTGTGAATTGGCGAAAAATATTTGTTTGGCTGTATTTACGGCTTCATGCTACTGTTTTGTTCATAAATATAATTATAAAAAGAAATGTTTTCGAAGAAACAAGAAATTGCTTCAGGAAAAACAATATCTATGTGGCTAATATTTACAATTTTACCACTAATGTATACTGTTCAGTGGAATAAAATGTAAATATTAAGCTTTTACAAAAAAAAAAAAAAAAAAAAAAAAGTTTTCTCTTAGTTTGAATAAATAATTATTTAAATTTTTTTAATCTTTTCTGAACTCCTCTTTTCCCCTCGCATTTTTTAGCCGGGATGCAAATTAAGTTAATGTGAAGAAGAGTATTTAAACGGGCGAGAAAGCGTGATTTCGCTAGCATAGCACACGTTGCTATTCTTTCCTTCCTGCTGTTAATCTTAGTTACTGCTTCGCCTTCTGACCTTTTATTAAAGTCTATTGTCGATACCGATTGCTGAGTCAGCCTGTTAATCTTAACTAGTCCAGCATTGCTTTTTGCCATTTACTGTTAAATTATTCTTAAGTTCCCACCACAAGTAGTCAGTGTTATTGTGAATACAAAGTACGTGCACTTTTGTTAAAGAGTTGAATATAAGAGTCGAATAAAAGGGGAGTTTAAACTCTTTCCCTAGGTGCGTTTTCTTCACGCCTGTCTGAGAAGTCGCCTGGCTTTTTACTAAGATCATATCTTGGCATGATAGTTAAAAGAGCCAGATCTTACAGTGTACTTATATAGATATCAGGTATGCCCATTTGTGGGTTGACTATTGCCGCATTGCTTTCGGAAGTATACCAAAAACTTAACATTTCTCCTAAATGTTGAAACCAGATTTGCGGATAATCAATACGTACTGTTTTGCTTTTTGTATAATTACGGCCATGGCTCGTCCCTTCTTTACAGAATTTTTTCACAATTGATAAAGAGGGATCTCTGTCTGTTTGCCGTCAAATCCGGTAGAGTCTTAATTAAATTCTCCACAACGCTGCTGCTTTGCTTAATTTTAGGTTTTACTCTGGTGTGTTTCTCTTATTTCTTGAAGTATTGCCGTGGCAATCACATTTCTAGAGATTAAAAATTATACTTATTTATTTTTTATTCAACTCACATACAATTCAAGTTCATTCAGAAATCGTAGTAATTAGTATAAACGTATAAATTACTTTTTTATTAGACAAAATTATGATCATTAATAATTTTTACTTCTTATATGTATATTCTTCTTATACTACCCCCCCCCTCAGGCACAAAGCAAATTTAAAAAACACTTACCTCTTGTCCGTTTTTTTCATTAAATCGGCGAATTTGGTGACGAAATTTTTATCTTTAATAAATAGGTGCTCATTTTCGGTAACCTGCTCACTGAGCAGTGCACTGAAAAATCTCAACCAGTCAACCTATTAGAACGTAAGAGAAAAGTACTTCAAATTTTTATTTGCACGAAGAAAACGTTTTCATAATATTTCTTCAAATAGAAGTAGCAAATGAATATTTGAATAAAATTAAGTAAAAAAAAACTAATTTAATAATGATTAAAAATTTAGTGTTTTTAACAAAAAGAGGAAAGTCTACTTTTCTTCTCTGTGAAATTTCATATTTCATTTTTTTATTTTTTAGCAAATATAAAAAATATAACATATAGTATTTTTCGGTAATTCTAGAAATTAGCTTTCTTTTTCTTTTTCTTTTTTTACTCCAGAATCTTTGGTAGTTTGACATTTTGAAAGATTTATTTATTAGGTTTAAAATTTGCTTTGGATAGAAGGTTAGCATTTGAAGCTAAAGCAAAAATCAAATCTGAAGCTCGAAAATAATTTTATTAAGTGCGGTACAGAACTAATATATAATGTAAGAAAAATACATTTTTCACATAAAGATAGGAAAAAATTAGTTAAGCAAATTTAGAATAACAACGTAACAAGGTTGATGATATCTGGAAATCATGACAGATATTTATTGGTTTACAAACGCCCATTATAGAGATCCACGTGTTAAACTTTCATTAGCAATATATCAGTGCAGCCATGTGGACGATGGAAGTTTTACATTTGAAATTTGAAGCACTTTGAGTCTGGTTTGATTCGAGATATTTTTTGGCTGGATAGCGGACATTACACAGATATTTAAGCATATGTATATATTTATAAAACGTTATGTGAAAATTAAATTCGAATAACTTCGGAATGGATATTAAGGACTTGGTCATTGAATTAATGCAAATTTCTCAAACTTTTATTTGCCTTAGAAAAATTAAGGAGCATAGTCTTAAGCCTTCATGATATCCGACGATGCAACATAGGTACTTATAGGTTACTCATGAATCAGTATTATGATTTAATACTATGGAATATTGTTCTTATAGCATCCCCATTAAGAAAACAGTCGGCCTAATAAAATGCTCTAAAGTTGCACACTTATATCTTTATCTTAACATTAAACAGCAATTAAAATACAGGCAAATAAAATTTAAAGTCAAATTGAAATTTAAGTGCAGAATCTTATTTGTGATCAGCAAATAGTGTTCCATTTATAAAAAGATTTTATAATTCCTCCTTATCCATAAACAAAATTAACAATATAATTCACGCAGCTAAACGAAGGATTTTATGAAAAAGCTTTACCTCTTTTTCCGAATTTAAGAGATCCTTAACGGTGTGATGCTCATAATGATGGTCTGCGCTATCCTCGTTTGACGTAGAGATCTATACGGGAAAAATATATCATAATTTTCAAAGCAGTAATATTTCGACTAGATAATTTAAACGTTTCACTCACTAATAGGTGGAAATATCAAACAAACCGTGGGCTTGGATTATATATTGCATCTCAGTTTCTGCGCGCAGAATTTTATGATGTAAAACAACGTAAAATCTAAAGAAATCATATAATAATGAAAAAGTAGATCCCATTCCTGAAGTACAATAAAATGCAATATTTAAAAATATCGGAGGAAACAATAACACATAATGACAATTTTTTTGCAAATCTATTAATCTGCCGTTTTTACACCATGAAATACATAACCGAAAGGAATTAAAAACGATCGCCTTTAGAGGTTTTAAATTCCTTTTCTCAAAATCCGAGTGATTTTAGTGTAACGTTGTTTTCAATATAAATGAACTATTTGGCTTTAAATTCAAATGATAAACTGGAAGAATTCACGATTGAATTTTTTCCTTCGCTTAAAATTTTAAAATGGTAGCACACAAACGATTCGCCCTGTTTGTTTCTTGGTGCAGTATAAGTGAAAATAAGGAAAATAATAGCTTTAAATACTTTGAGGAATTTTAGTGGCCTTTCATTATTCCAGATGGAAACTACACAATTGTAGAATTGAGTGATTATTTGGAAGATAACTTTTTAACAACTTAAAAGAAAATGTAGAGAAATATGAACTACCCATTATTCAGCTCGGTATCTTAAAAGCTCGACAAAATTTTATTATCAGATTACTGAATATACATAAAACAGATTTAACTCTTTAATATTAAGTATACTGGACAAAATATTTGAATTTTAAAGCAAAATTTATGAAGAATGCAAACAAGAAGGAGAATACATCGGAGATATAATGAAAGGAGTAACAATATCCACATTAACTGTGATACCGCAAAAGAAGTGCAATTAGTAAGACACTGGTTATTATTATTATTATTATTATTATTATTATTATTATTTGTATACAAACAAGTACTTAGCACTAGACGGTCGAATTGTAGAACCATTTAACAAGCCTAATATTTTAATGTAAAACAGGAAGATAAAAGCAGTATCAAGAAAATTACAAATCATAAGAATACGTTATGAAACCTGAATAATCAGGCAGAGGAAGGAATTTAATATTTGAAGCTGAAGATAAAAAAGGGAGATATTTCGAAAACATTTACAATTTTTTCGTAACATTTTATTTATACAAATGATTAATCACAGTTATTAAAGAAACAGTAAAAAATCCAAGAATCCTTGGTAAATAGAAATCAGTACCCTATTAAATATTTTATCAACCCATGAAGGTAAGAATGTAGTATTAGACGAAATAAAATCTGTTATTCGTGATAAACGTAGAGATATACTCTATTTGTTCTAGCTAAATTAATGTTACTTGAATGCTGAACCAACTACAACTGTAAAGCTATTATTTATTGAGAGTTCTACTGGAACAGTAACAACAACAGAAAAAGTGTTAAAATATCCTTTTGTTTTTACTCAAAATCTATTCACAGATGTCCAAGTTGAATAATCAGCCGAAGCTGTAGCACAGAGATACTTAACGCGTAATTGACTCTTAGGCTAATATCACCGACGTAGATCAAAAAGCAATTAATATGCGCGGCCATAAAATAGCAAGCTTTAACTAGTAGACACAACGTGGTTGAAAGACAGAACATGCTCTGTCTGAAGTAACCCAGACCTTAGCTTAAATAGTAGTTTCTACCTTACTTTGCATACAGCGTGAAACTAAAATCTTATTCTGGTAGGAACGCGTGGGTAAGAAAATGAGAATGTAAAGGAAAGGCTGTTTCCAAACTAAAAACCAACTATCAGAAAAATAAAATAAACCCCACAACACTTTATAACGGGCAAAAGTTTAAAAATATATCAATCTTAATTTTTTTAAACTTTTATGTAAATAGGAAAGATTAAGGTCTCAGTCATAAGAATTATTATTATAAACAAGATATAAAGAGTTATGAATATAAAAAATTGAAAAACACCGAAATGTTCACCTCAAAGTTACATTACCGCAAAAAATAGCAATTTCAAACAAGGGTTTGGATGAGGATTATTTTTTCTAGAAATCATTTTTAAATTTTCAGATTTAAAATTGCAAAACCAGACCCGGTAGAATAACGGAGTAACATCTGTTAATAGGGGGGAGGTTTGATTAAAAACAAGTTTTAAAAATAGGAGGTATTGAGAAATTTCATCAAAATACTGCACTCCCGTTACAAGGACTGAGCTAGAATTTACTACTAATTACTAAGATTATGATTTTACCAATTCGTTTTTTAATAAAAATACATCCGATTATGCAGACACTTCATTTTTATGTTTTTATGGATCTGATGAAGATGAAAAAAATTAAACTATGAATAAAACGTACAACCAAAGTTTTGCATCAAGACTTTCGCTTACGAAAGACAATCAAACTGTATAATTTTATACACATTTGTAGAAAACATTTAATTTCTCTGACGAATAATTGGAACTTTTAAACCTGAAATGGAATTTGAAAAGAATAAAAATGTGAATACGGTATACACATGAAAGATTTTTTTGTTTTGCTTGTTAATTTTATAAATGATCAAAAAAATTATAGTAAAAGTTTTAGAATTAAAATATTCCAACAATTATTTTGAAAAACCTGAAATAAATTTATAAGTTAACGTAAAATTAACAATGTAATATTTAATAAATGTAAATTTAATGATTTATTATTGGTAAACAACTAACCATATCAGCGTTTTAAATGAATCAAATGATAAAATTGACATAAATTTTAAATGGCATTTGAATGACATAAAATTTAAATGAATCGTTTAATGGAAAGAGAAACACAAGTGATAAATAATACAAAATGATTCAAAAAACGTTTACAAAATGACATGTCAAATCAGACATACAACAAGGATTTAAAATCACATACGGTCGTAAATGCTATCCGGAGCCACTAGAGGGCGTTAAAAATAATACGTAATACAAAGACAAGAAACAAAACAATTCCATATCATTTATTTATGACAATCACTTGCATGACCCTCTCCAGGAGATGCTCAAAGTTTTTGTCCAGATGCATCGAGACACGCCTGACATCGACGCTGCATTGAATCTGCAGAATTAATACGGCTTATAAACAAAGGTTTATGGCAATTACTTTGGGAAAATGAAAACTTTTATTCTTTAATAAATGACAGTGACAGTTAGAAAATAGAGAAAAGTGAGGTTTTAAACTGGCAAGCGATAAAGTTGTGGTTAGGAAAATAGAATTTTAACCAACTGTGGAATTCCGAAGAATGAAAAAGAGGTTAAAACTAAAGAGTTTTTTTAGGAATAAGACAATTGTTTAAAAAGGAATTAAAAGTAAATACAGAAAATGTTTCGCAGTATAATCAAGAAAGTTTAAATGTTTTAGCTACGAAATTAACAGACCATTAACAGCATAATGAACGTATCACTAAAATAGTCTAACTGTTGGTTTAAATATTTATGCCATAAGAGAAATTAAATCATTATTATCATACTTTGGCCAACATTGCTTCAAAATTGAGAGCATCCCAGATTTCGTTTTCCAGATATAGATTTTGTTTTCTTGCGTCCATTTCTTGAGCTGTTCTAAACATCCAGAGGTAGTAAAGAAATCTTTCCTCATGATTTAAATCCAACAAACTGGAGCGAGGTATTCCTAATGATGCATGATCCAACTTGAAAAAGAAATAGAAAACTACGTAATACGAGTTTTCGATTTAAAAAAGACTTCAGCAACAATTTTTTTAATGCAAATTGCTAAATGTTGTAAAATTTTTTCAAATGTAAACGTAACACTTTTGTTGCTTATTTCCGTCATTTTATTTTCTTTAAAAGATAACTTTATTATATATTACTTTAAAAAAAAGGAATTCTGAACTCCAGCCTTTTTGCCAATAATGTAAGAACGTTATGAATTTAGCTAATATCTATCATTATTCAATGTTAGTTTCCCTTCACGATGTACAAAATCCAAATGAATATAAACCATTAACAGCCAAATATAAAAGTAAATATAAAAATAAATATATATTTTTATATAAATATAAAAATATAAAAGCCAAATATAAAAGTAAAGCCATAGTGATAATAAATTTACAAATACACTATACTTCACCGTCGAATATCCATAGGATCTATAACAAAATTGATTTCTTTTTGCACACGGAGAATTCCCCAGCGTCAGCATTATGAGAAATGTTATAATTGCTATCATATTTTTCACTTGAGTTCCGACAGTTTCTGCAGCATAAACCTTTTCTGGTTTCATGGTTTTCTTATTAATACGGACTCATATCTTCAAATTATGTCTGCATTACAAACTGAATTTGATTCCTGATTTGTTGACTTTGCGAATTTAGAACCTATTTTTAAATTATTCATAAGTCGCTTTAAAATTACTGATGGAGAAACCACGGATATAGTTTTTAATTATTGTCATCTTAAAAATATGGAAAACTTAGAAATAGTAAGCTTGCAAAATTATGCTGTTTTAAAATCCTATGGAACTAGTAAGATATTTTGGAGCTTGGTAAACAGAAATCAGTATCCTATTTTAAAATCATGTGCGAAAGAGATTAATTCTTATGACTCAAGTATTTATCGTTATGAGACGTTGATTTCGCCAACAATGTCTCAAAGCCTTGTTCAAAACTTACTGACACGCACTTAGATAATTCTTTCAGAGCATGCAACTCAGATTATATTGTCGATTATAATAAGTCAGCAGACGAATTACGAACACAAATTTCACATTGACATATAAAAAAATATTTAAAGAGTATAAATTACAAATATCTACTGGTTCAATAAAGTTATATCTTTTAATCAAAACTATTTTGCAATGTGACGTTTGATGTTTGATTATGAAACCTTGTAATGTTGCCCGCTCCCAACCTGCACGCAACAATAGTCGTGACTGCTATGAACTGGAAATTACACAAAGTCTTGAGAAGGGTTTAAATCCCTTTTTATTCAACTTTAGAAATTACAGATGCGTGCTCTTGACGCTCACAAACTACGCCGACCCGGCGGTAAAATAAAAATAAGAAACTAAAAATGAATAATAACAAGTGACTACCTACGAGGCTCTCTAAAACGTAACTAACCTAACCGCGTTCTAAGATACCGCTGACAATTCAGCAAACTTCTGAATATTACGTTGAAAGATTTAACTATCTACCGAGGCAAGCACACAGGCCGAAACGCGTGGTTCTTCAATTTCTAACTAGCCACCTCCACGCTCGTGAAGCAAGAAAGCACACTTTCGAACTCGTTTCCCTTCTATTTAACTCAGATTACTTCCGCTGACAATTTTGAATACTTTGCGCGTTCTACTAAAATTTACATACTCTGGCATTGGCAATTCCAGGGGAAAGTAAGGCTTGACAGGAAAGATAGTTTAAACTTAAAATAAATGTTAGTTAAAATAAATATAAACCCTACATTTGCCGCTGCCAGAATTTGGTAAACTTGGAAGCAGGTCCTAGAAACGACCTGTTGAAAAGTTTCCACAATTCTGAACTAAAATTTTAAGAGCCTCGTTTACATAAAAAAAACTGTTTCTCACAAAAGTTAGAATAAATTTCTGTAGATACTTATTTAACCTTCTCTTCTTACAGCAACCTTTCCTGGACTTCAGCAATCAATCTGTTCTCTTCCTTCCAGCATCTGGAAGGAATAAGTATCAGTATCTTTCTAAATACATTATAATTTACACTTTCTTGACACTGAATAAGTTTTTGTTTTTGAACGATTTATTTTCCTTAGTTACTGCTTAATTCACATTCATTCAAGTATTCAAACATGAATTTAACTTTACCCTGGCTCTCCACCATGTGTGGTGTCAAACGGGAATATTCGTGTTTTAGTATTGCAACACTTCCCCTAACCACAATGATTTGTTAGAATTCAACGACCAAATAGACACACCTTACTCGACATTCTACAACTCGATGAGCTATTTTAACATTCTTAAAATTCAAGTGTAGGTGGAGAACCCTACAAAACACATTCATTCTAAATTCCCCCTCATTCATCTTTAGACATGCAGGCTTTCGCTCTAAAGCATGATTTTATCTACAGTTTAATACTTAAATTTGAATTCATTTCTTTTGAGCATTTACTTTTAGCATCTAAAATTTTATGCTTCTAGACTAAATTCTACTTTTACATAACTTTCAAGTATTTACGTATATTTACAAAATTCTAATACATATGATTTTTACAATTTACCATAAAATGAATAAGAGAAAAAAAAAATTTTTACTTTACGCATTCTTCGCCAAGCTGGCGGCACTGAAACTAAATTTCTTATTAATACAAGAATACGAAGTTATTTTTATCTTCGGCCAAATTTTGGCTTTAACATAACAGAATTAGTCTTTCGACCAACAGAAACTGCTTGTTCTTAGATTTTATACTTAAAGAAAATAATACTTTTGCCTTAGCTAAATAAAGTAAAACAAAACTAAGTCTCAACCGAGACAAATTGACTTCCGTCAAAACATAGAACTTCGTATTTACGCATAACATTTCGGAACAAAAGAAAAAAATTTATAGAAGATTTTAACTTATCTTTGAGTTTTCGATGATTGGAACTCCGACATCCTCTTCTGGCAGAACTGCTCCCACGTTATAAATTTCATCGACGTCAGTCGTCTCCTTTGTGTCCTTCGAGTGTCGTCCATGTTGATTTTCTTTTTTTCGCCCTCTGCATGCTGGCCTCTTGGAGTGGTAGTCGTCGGGTTGCTGTTTTTTCCGTTTTGCCCCTGGACGGCTGGTCTTGGCGTCCTCCGGTCTGGAATCATGCTTGAATTTCTTCTGTTGGTGGTGGTCTTTTCGTTCCTCCTGCTGTCTTTTCGTTCTCGGGAACGGCGGCCTTGTTTGCACCTGACACTCTGGCCCTGGAAGCGTTCTCCTCGATGCAGAATTTCTACTGCGATACGTTGTAAGTGGTCTTTTCCTCTTTACCAAAGCTTTCTTTACGCGGCGGCGTTGCTTTCTTGTTGTATTTCTTAAATGCTGGAGTCTGAACGTTTTCATTTCTTCTTTTCGGTACCGTCGCATGACTTGTAGAAGGGCTAGGTTTCTCTTCAGTTCTCTGCTTCTTGGGTGGTGGAGCGGGTGACGTTACTTCTGGACCTTCTACTTCTTTTACGCTTGAGTCCTGCAAGAAACTTTTAAGGATTTCAAAATCATTTTGATTATAATATTTTTTCACCTGGTCGGGACTTGCTTTACAGATTTCCCCTCTCTCGTTCTTAAGGTACAATACGACTCCCTTGATTTCCTGAATTACATAGGGGCCTTCAAATTTTGGAGCTAACTTTGCAGTAAAATTGTCTGGGGCACTTGATAAAGAAAATTTCCGCTTCAACACTTTATCCCCAACTTTAAAATCTGCTTCACGGCGTTTTCTATCATAGTAAATAATTTTGTCTATTTCTTTTCTTGCCGTATCCGAGCTTTTAACCGCCTGGTCAATGAAGTTTTTGCACATCTTTTCTGTTTAAATTCTTGCTCTCTTTGTTGCACAAAGAATAATTTATCTAATGGCGTAATTAACTTCCGTCCTAAAAATAATTCTGCTGGAGTTTTTTTCCCGTAGTATCGTGATTTGCCGTTCTTAAAGCATAAGCTAACTCATTTATGTAGCCATCCCAGCGCTTGTGATGTGTGTGCTAACATAACTTCGAATTATTTTTACAATATTTTTATTAACTCTTTCTGCTATGTTTGCCTGTGGTCTATACGGAACCATTTTGATATGGCGTATGCCAAGTCCAGTGCAAATGTTTTCAAATATTTGGCTAACGAATTGTTTACCGTTATCGCTAATGACTTTTATCGGTGCACCGTATTTTAAAATGTATCTGTGTAAGAATGCATCTGCGACTGTTTTGGCTGACGCGCGTTTAAGTGGAACAATTTCTGTCCATTTTGAAAAATGATCTACAATTACTAAAAGAAAACGATTTTTATTTAACTCACTCTGGGGGAAAGGACCAAGAAGATCTATGCCTAAAATTTCATTCGGAAATGTAGCGCGAATGCTATTTAAGTACCCGGCCGGGCTGTAATTAATATCATTTATTAACTGACATTGATTGCAGGACCTGACATACGCAGTTACTATTTTGTATAATTGCGGGAAATATACCGCCTCGCGTACCCTTTTTAAAGTCTTTCTGACCCCTAAATGACCCGCTGTTTTCGCGTCGTGTAATTCCTTCAAAATGCTTAATCGAAGCGAGGCTGGGATGACTGGTTTGTACTCGAGATTTTCGTTTGTTGTTTTCGTATAAAATAATAAATTATCTATTATTTCATAGTTTTCTGCTCTATTTCTTATCGCATCGATATCTGTGTGCTTCAAAGCTTTCGGGGTCTTTCAAATATGCATAGATACTTCCAAATTCAGGATCAGCTTTCAATTCAGCAATAATTGTTTCTCTAGAATCTAAAATCTAAAATTTTTGAAGTCAACACAGCGCATTTGAAGTTCATTTCCTTCATCGTCCAGTTTTATACGAGAAAGTGCGTCAGCTACATTGTTTTCCTTACCCGGTTCATATTTAATTATATTTTACACTCTTGAAGTTTTAAAGCCCATCTTATTAACCTGGGCGTTATTTTTTTCCCCGAGTAAAGTCTACCAACAGCCGCATGATCCGAA